GAGACCAGTAGGATGCAGGTGGTTATTTACAATCAAATGTAAGGCAGACGGAAGCATAGATCGGTTAAAAGCCCGACTGGTTGCCAAAGGCTATACCCAGTCATACGGAATTGACTACCAAGAGACATTTGCCCCAGTAGCCAAACTGAACTCCATTAGAATCCTACTCTCCATTGCAGCAAACCGAGACTGGCCCCTTATGCAACTTGATGTCAAAAATGCATTCCTTAATGGAGATCTTGAAGAGGATGTATACATGGATTTACCGCCTGGTCTTGAAGAGTCCTTCCCTAGTGGCAAAGTATGCAAGCTCCAGAAATCTCTGTATGGTCTCAAACAATCTCCTCGTGCTTGGTTTGCAAAGTTCACCAATTCAGTAATCAAGTGCGGTTATACTCAAAGCCAGACTGATCATACAATGTTCACAAAAAGATCTGAGAAGAAGATTGCTGTTCTTATTGTGTATGTTGATGACATCATTCTTACCGGTGATCATACTGAAGAATTGACAAAGCTGAAGAAGTTTCTAGCCCATGAATTCGAAATCAAGGACCTCGGAGACTTGAAGTTCTTCTTGGGAATGGAAGTTGCAAGATCCAAAATGGGGATAGCCGTAACTCAAAGGAAGTACACATTGGACCTATTGAAAGAAACTGGTATGCTTGGATGCAAACCAATAGACACTCCAATAGACCCGTATAAAAAGATTGGAATGGAGAATGATAGTTTACCTGTCGACAAAGGACGATATCAGAGGCTTGTTGGAAGACTTATTTACTTATCTCACACCAGACCAGACATAAGTTTTTCAGTAAGTATAGTAAGTCAATTCATGAACTGTCCTACTGAGGAACATATGGGAGCTGTCAACCGTATCTTAAGATACTTAAAGATGACACCTGGGAAAGGATTATTATTCAAAAGGAATGATAGTCAAAAGGTAGAAGTATTTACTGATGCAGACTGGGCAGGAGATATATCCACCCGACGATCAACCTCTGGGTATTGCACGTATGTATGCGGCAATCTAGTGACATGGAGAAGTAAGAAGCAATCGGTGGTCTCTCGGAGTAGCGCAGAAGCAGAATACAGAGCACTGGCACTTGGAATCTGTGAAGGAATGTGGATCAAAAGATTTCTCAAAGAGCTTGGAATTATGGGAGAAAATTCTATCAAGATGTTCTGTGACAATCAAGCTGCAATAAGTATCGCAAAGAATCCTGTTCATCATGACCGAACGAAACACATTGAGATTGATCGGAACTTCATTTCAGAGAAGGTGGACAATGGAATCATTGAATTGGTCTATACTCCTTCTAGAGACCAAACCGCAGACATTCTCACCAAGGCTCTCCCTAAGTCCAGTTTTGATGAGCTAACCAACAAGTTGGGCATGTACAATCTGTACAACCCATCTTGAGGGGGAGTGTGGAATTACGCTCATTATTATTTACTTTAATGTTATTTAGTACTTGCTATATTTTGTGATAGTATAAAAATAGTAATTCTTAATTATAGGTATTTATGTTTATTCTATAATTATAGGAATTACTTAATTGTAGGAAGATTTCTTTCCTTGTTTTATTTCTTGTAAACGCCTATTTATAGGTGAATTATCTATGTATTCATTGAGAAGAAAGTTATTCAAAAATTCACAAATAACATTGTTATTTTGTCAATATTCATTATGGAATCAACATTATTATTTTGTTGACATTTGTATTGAGGTTATCAGCATTATCTCAGAACAACAGATGATCAAATTGGATATGAGATACATTTGGCAAGAGATAATGCGTCAAAATATTGTTTACTTGTCCAAGATGATAAAGTGGATCATGCAATTATATATTTCTATAGATCTCATATTGGTTTTCGATATTATTGCCCCGTTCAACCACCTTGATGCTATTTTATCTCATATCATAAAGCAATTTTTTGTACTCTGGTGGTTCAGACACCATTATCAATTCCAATTGTTAAACTATTTTTGTCATCTTCACAAGTACAAAAATTTAATCTTTGTTTGGAGATAATCTATGAAATTTATTCTTATAATGATCCATATTTTGTTGATGAATAACATGATAATGTGTTAGCCTGAAGTTTAGACTGCTTGTAAAGGATTGAAATGAAATAGTGCCTGGGCCTGCTTCTCTTCTAGTTTTTGTTAATGGATCTGAAATCGAGTCTGAGATTGCACCACTTGCAGAGTTGTTATTGTTCCTAAAATGGTTTAGATGCATAGCAGGATGATCCATGGTTGTTGTTCTACTTCATTCCTATTAATTCTTGATATTGAGTTAATGAATTTCATTAAAGGAGGATTCCTGACTTTATTTTAATTGAAATTATATTTTATTATGCTTTTAGATAATATGGGTTTGAATTTGAATTATTAAATCATATTAGATTTTATTAATTTTAATATTATATTTTTTACTTTATTTCTATAAATGGGAATGCTTACTTAGCTTGTATTTTTGTTAGTTGAATGGTAAATTAAAAGATTTGTTCTTATCCTCTCTCCTCTCTCTCTCTCTCTCTCGTAATAACTGTTTTCCCTCTTCATTTATTCCTGATCTATATCAATTACGACATAAATTAAGATTACTTCAAACTCTTTTAATTTCTTTTATTTTTGTTTAAAGCAAAAGTCTGCAGAAGTTAGAGAGAAATCCACAAGCATGTACAGTAGTTTTCTGAACATGATTGGCATTACCTCCAGCAGCAGGAAGGAGCATACTGAAGTCAAAATATCAGAGGTTAATGATTCCAACATAATGTCCTTATGCAGCATTAGCATTCCTTACCTTGGTGAGTGGGCAAATATTCTTTTCCTTATCTTTCTACTCCAACTGCTAATTTATATCTCAAACACTTTGACAAATATAATTCTCAGGGTGCCCGGTTAATTTCTTTGATACCCTGTTTTTTTTTAATCATTTAAATTTTGCAAGTTGATATAGTAAATATCCTCTAGATTACACAATCTAATGTTGAAAGAAAATAGTATTGATTGTTATCTATGCCACCATTTTATTAAAGGTGAAAATGGATCTTGTATTGATTCATTTGATTAACGGTGGGCTTCACATAACAGAGCCAAAATTGCTCGGTGACAACAAATGGATGGGTCCAAAAATCAGAATGTCACTTCCTAGTTTTAGGTGAGTTTTACATCTTAGATCTTCAGTGAGATGCTTTTAATTCATGTAACTTTTGATATATGGAGGACTGCTTGAATTAATTATTATTTTTATTTCAGCGGCCGAACCATTCACAATCCCCTTCTTCTAAAGTATGCTTGTCAAATAGAATGCAGGTGAGCAACATTATAAAATATTGGGGCATTTACCTACATACCACCCAATCCTTATGTATTGACATGTCAAACACCTAAACTTTAATTTTTACAAGTATACCACCAAACTATTTCATATCACTTCAAAATACTACCATTTTAATATTTAAAAGGTGAAATACACCTTTTCAGACACAAAAAAAGGTTGCATGTTTGTAAAAATTAAATTTTAGGTGTTAGATATGTAAATACATAACAATTGAAGGGTATATATGCAATATCTTCCTAAAATATTTTCATCCCATTCAGAACATATTTGAAAGATGATTATTTTACTGTGCCATTCACCATTTTTCGGGGCCATGCTAACATGCTTTGTTTCTTTGAACAATCGCTCTCTAGTTTTTTGCTTAAAGTCGTGAAATTTAAACTAAGCATCTGTTATGAGCCTTCTCAATTAATGGGATAATAAAAGTGATGAAAGAGCATTTTTTAACAATTAATTTAGAGAAGTTTTAGTTTTAGTGACGCCGGAGTACTTTTTACGGTTAAGTTGGAGGAGTCATCATTTTTATGTAACTAATGATTTGTTCCTCTGTAAAAACCTACTGTATTTGCTTAAGATAAGACAACTACGCTTCCTTGATGAGCCTTCTCTATCAATAGATGAATATTTGTGATGCAGTAGCATTTTTGAAGACTAGTTTTATAGTATTCGTTTGCGTGTATAATTATTAATTATGTTGGATATTATTGCAAGTGTGTGAAGAGTGTGAATTGAGGCATGAGGTATGCTATCTTTAGTTGGTTAGTCCTCTTAAGATTCATTAAATTCCATGATCTCCTACTTCTTAACAAAATATCCTTGATACCAAAACTCACCCTTTGTCTTGTATAATCGTGTTTTAGTATTTTGATTATCTTCATCATTTTATAATTAATTTTTAGATACAAGTAATCAATTTTTTTCAGCTCAATGAGTTGCAACTTTCCAAAAGTAAGTTTTTCCAAATTATAACGCTTGCACATTTCAAATTCTAACCCTTCACTCGTGTGAGTGGCCACCCATTGGACTTTTCATGTCATTTCATTCATTTTGTGTGCAAAATCTATAAATCAATGTTTTAAAAGATGCTTCATGTGTAAAGCGAAGCGAAGCACATAACACGCGCTTTGCTTCGCTGAATCTTGCTTTGAAGTGCTGAAGCAAAAATGATAGCGGAGTTAACTCAAACCACGACATAAACGATACATTTTTGTTTTTGACTTTCAATGGGGTACAAGGACGACACGACAACAACAATACGAGAACACAGATAATGATAGATAAAATTGTGAACTGCAGAAATAAAAGACAAAAGTAAATAATTGAAAATAGAAACAACCAGCTCGAGTAAGTGCGGTTGATCCGACGAGTGACATATGATGCGGGAGTGACGTCGGGCTCCGGAAAGTTCATGAGAAGCACATAATCGACGCTCAGGGAAGGCGGAGATCGTTGGACAGGGTTCTCCGGACGGCTAGGCAAGCAGGGCAGGTGACTAGTGGACTGTTGATGCAGGAGGGGGTCGCTGGCAGGAGCTACAACCGACTAGGGTGAGCATAACAATAGGCTAACGACCTATCTGTACAAGAAGGGGGCATTGGTGGGAGCTACAGACGACTGGTGCGAGCGAGGAAGAGGGCCAATGGTCAGTTTGTGTAGGAGTCAGGGCGTCGACGGGATCGACGAGCGACATGGCCAGCCGTAAAGGGAACGAGCGACTTGTTTGTGTAGGACTGAGCCTCCGGTGGGACTTACGGCCTTCTGAGAAGAGCAAGCAAGGTCGACTCATCGGCACCACACCATGAGCTGGGGTGACAATTGGAAAGAGAGATGGGACTGGTTAGAGATAAACATCACATTGAGCGAGGTACAATCGAAGCACCATGATGCACAAAAAATATATGCATTTTTAAACCTATATTTTATACTCATTTTTGGTGATATTGCACTTTAAAGGAAGATATTTTTCATGTTTTATTGCAGATTGATGATTTTTAGGACTTGAAGCACAAATAAGATGAAATTTGGAAAGCAAATAAGATGAAATTTGGAATCAACATAGTGCTGACGACACCAGCATGAACTAGGAGTCCAGAACCTTATCATCGTCGACAGCACCAGACTAGGTGCCAACGGCCCCATTAACAGAGCACAAAATTTAATTCGGACTACGGGCGCCGACGGCGCCATTGTGGGCGCTGACAACGCCAAAGTCGGTGCAGGGCAAATTCTAGAAGATTCGATAAACTTGGACACTTTTAAAAAAGTTATTGGAGACACCTCTTGGAAAACCGACATTATGCTTTATTTAGAGCAAAAATTGATCAGAAAAAGTTGGTGGTTAGAAAAAGTGGTGGTTAGAGGGGGCTAGTGTGTAATTGAGTTTACTTGAGTGTTCTATTGTCTAGTGTCGTGAGTCTAAGAGTGATTTCTCTTAAGGGAGAGAAGTGAGAGATTTCTTTTTCCTTACATTTTTAAAGAGAAAATCAAGAGTGTTGTAAAGAGAGAAAGAGTCCAAGAGAGGCTACAAGGGATTGCCTAGAGGAAGAGTTATAGATAAGTGGTGTTTGTTTATTATTGTTGTATAAACTTTTTTTATTTATGAAATTCGTATTTTGTCTTATATTCCTCATGAGGTCTGAGTGGCTTTCTTTGTCTTTCTCCATACTTTGAGATATGGTGAAATGAAGAGATAATTTGGATGTGCAAATTTTAAAATATAAAATAAATTGTGATGATTTTTTCACTTCGTTCTTAATTTACTTTTCGATCTGACCAATTAAAATATGTTAAAATCTGTTGTGAAACATATGATCCGGGAAATGGAGTATGAGTTCTACAACAAAGTGAGAATCACATTCAATTATATGAAGGAGTGTTTCATTCATAGAATTGGGTGCAAATAAATAAAGAAATATATATATATATATATATTATTGGACGTATAATTGGAGATTTTAGGGTGACAGACTAAAATCTCCAATTCGGTCTCAGTGTTTAAGAACTAAAGTGAGAGTTAACATTCAGGGAAAGGGAAGTGGGATCTCTGGAGTCAGTATCCTCCCAGCCTAACCACTAATTTAGAGAATAAACCTGATATTAGCCAACGATTCTCTATAACACTTGACTAAGGGTAGAAAATTAAAATTGCTCCTATTTGATGCAATACAAATTCAAACAATTTATCTCTCTTATTTAACCAAAAACTCATTGTAGTGAGAAATATGTTTTCTCATATTTGATAACGTCATCACAGAAACATAGTTTGGTAGTTACAATTTAACTTTACTTTACAGTCTCGCCAGTATTTGATAATTTAATTCTGACAGCTCCTTGAAAATTCGAAATTAGTATAGTAGATTTTCTTTATTACTGTGAATTTCCTAATTCAGATTATCATATCAAATTTAAACTTTCATCGTGGGATCGATATTTGGGGCTTAAACAGAAAGTCATGTATTAGTTGACAACGATACATATACTTGCGTAGAATCCCAACATAAATTGTTTTAATTTCTTATTCATAAATAACGAACCAAATTTTTGGCCAAATTTTTGGCGTCACTGCAAAGCGGAGTCAACTTTATTAATTTTACACATTTATAATTACCGGGATCACACCACTACTGTCGGATACAACCCTTGGAGAAGGAACACCTTGGCGATACACTTGAAATCAGAGTGGATCCAAAAACTGCTTAGCAATCAACACACAACGATTATGAATAAGACTAGGTAAGTAGGCAAATAGGCAAATATTAAAAGAGAGCGGAAAGGAAAAAGGCAAGAATTTGAAATGCAGTTCAAAAAGGAAAGGATTAGGCAGGGGAGACATTAACACAGGTGAAAAAGAGGGGCAGAAGCTCGGTTATGGCCGGTCTGGTCCAGCAAGAAGGCTGGACCGGTTAATGGTTTGCACCGGCTCAAACTCGGGAGCCCTGCGTTAAAAATGGTCGATCCAGTTCATAGAGGGATCGAAGGGCGATTGAATTAGTTTAACATGTTTTATGAAACTTGAGAGTTTATTAGTTTATTTATCCTTTAAATTTTAGATTTTATCGAGTTATAAGTATTTTTTTGGACTTTTTAAGTATTTAATTATTGCAGTAAAATATTATATATTGTTTGAAATTTGATTTTTAGGCTCACTCTCAATGTTTGACTTCAATTTAGATATTGTATCACATTCTTTTTATATTTTATATCAATTTTTAAGTTATATTTTATATTTTATGACTGTTATCAATATTTAAGTTATATTTTATATTTTATAACTATTAATGAAGATATTTATCGATTAATACTTTCATATAACATTTTAGTGCTTTATTTAATAAAAATGCCGCTTTGTTCTGCGCTTAAAGCTTTGAAGTAAAAATAAAGTCTTGTGTATCGCACTGCGCTCCATGCTTTCCACTTATAACACTACTATAGGTTTTGTAATAGCAATTATGGAAGGATGAACGAATGAATTTACTTTTAGAAATTTAGTTTACCGATGTACCATCAATGCATTCCTTTTGTTCTATTATCTTTTGAAGAATGCTGATGAAAATTTTGGACAAGATTGACACATTGAAGGACACTTTTTAAAGTCTATTTACATATCTTTATTTCTCTTTTTTCCTTGGAAATATTGTTGTATCATTTGTATTTTATTCTACATTAATTAACCAAGCAAGTAAAAAATTATTTTTGGGCATTTACATATATGCAACACAATTCCTATGAATTTAGATATCTAACACCTAACTTCGATTTTTCTATTTCTGACACTCCAAATTTTCACATCATATCAAACATATTACTATTATTAACTTTTTAACAGTGAAATACACTTTGTCATGAATAGGTAAAGTGGTGTTAATTTAAATATCAAAGTTTATGGGTTGTTTGAAATTCAATGTAAAATATTTATGAAATACTCTGATTACAATATATTTGAAATACTTTTGAGTTGTTTGGTTCTCTGTAAAATAAATATAGGATTTTATATATTTTTTTTATTTGGTTTGAATTAGATTGAAAACAATATATTTTAAAATATATTTTCTTGTCTGACGGCGGCGAGGGCCTTGTAGAAGGTCGGCGGTGGCGGACAAGCGGGCTGCAGGAGGACGATGGGTGGCAAGCAGTAGGTGGTGACTTTACCGATAACATTTTACCGTAACTTAAATTCGGCTAAATCGGCCGAATTCTAAATTCAAGCCAAAGTAAATTAAGTTGTGAACTTCAAATTTATTTATACTTTACATTTTATTTATAATTATTTGTACCAAATATATAATTTCCTAAAATCTTTGTAAAAGAATTACAAATCTTTCCAACCAAACAATATCTTAGGTGTGAAATATGCAGATGCATAAGATACGCGTGGCATGTATGTAAATCTTCACTTTTTTTTCACCCGTCAACCTTTTTATAATGAAGCATGAAATTATTGTTGTGAATAAATGGCACAGGATGCGGGCGGTGATGGTAGCGAAAGTTTCAGGACCTGGCGCCAATAAGTCTGATGATGATGATAAGCCTTGCGTTGATCGTCTCAACAATAATACGTTGACAGAGAACAAAAACTGGAACCGATGCATTTCGATTCTGTTGTCAAAACCTGTGTTGGCATTGGAGTTCAATTTTCTCAAAATGAGAGTGAATGCTCCAACCGTGGTAGCTTCTCCCCACCAGATTAATGTAGCAGAAAATACAAGTAGTTGCTTCAGAAATAGCTAGCCTCCTTTTATGCGAGAGTTTTTAACGGTATTACTCTTAACACTCTGATAAAGTATTTAATGTGCATGACTTCTTTCTAATTCCAAAATATTAAATTTATCATCCTGGATTTTTTGAAATGGAACAATCAGTTATTTAATTTTGTGGCATTTAAATACATTCCACCCTTTTCATATGTTTTGACATGTCTAACATCTAAGCTTTAGTTTTTTACATTTTTACAACCCAAACCTTTCATATCACATAAAAACATACCAAAATTTTAACTTCTAAATGAAATACACCTTTTCACTCATAGGTAAGGTGACACATATTTAAAAATTGAAGTATAGTTGTTAGATATGTAAATACATAAGAATTGAATGGTGTGTATGCAAATCTTCCTTTAATTTTTCGTTATTTTACTTGCAGAATATTGTTACTTGAACATTGAGGTTATAAAAATCTATATTATTATACCAAGGAAAAATAGCACCCCAAGATTTATAAATAGGGGCAATTTTTTTGAAAAGGATGCTCTCTTCTTGCACTCTCCTGTTGTCTCCCTCTATCTCTCATTCTCCTCTTTCTCCTTATTGCTAGCAGGGTTTGAGTACAATTCACAAACATATCGACATATCTGAGTAAAAAATTCTGAAAGTTAAGATATATTAATGTACATATTGTTATGTCACGTTCTGTCTTTTTATGTAATATCTTGCAGTTTTGTCATATCCTATAGTTGTCATATCTTGCAGTTTTATGCTATGTCATTTTATGTAGCCATATGAAATGAACCGAGAATGTCAACTTGGACAGTCAACTCGGTTGGTGAAAAAGCCCGAGTCAACTCAGCACATGGCTGCTTAGCGATTTTTTTAAGGCACATACATTTGTTTTAGGAACCATGAAAAGAGTAAGGGAGCTAAAATATGAAATTATGCATTGTTCGTCTCTATAAAACAAATAGAAATTTCTATTCAAAAAGTGAATTTATTAGATGTATTTATTCTAACGAGATAGAATTACAACTATTTAAATAAAGATGAGAGGAGCATTTCACTATGTCATCTATGTGGGGCCTCTTAGCACTTCTCCAGGGAATCATCTTAGGGGCAATTTGGCTAGACAAATAGGATCTCATTTTGGAGGTATTTTTGCTCACCTTCAGAGAATAGTCTCATAGATTGTTAGCTCATCTTTGCTATTATATTTTTTTTATTCATGTCTTTTGTTATAGGGTGAGTTCTCCAAGTGTTGTTAGTGAAAAATAAATTTGGTTCTCTTCATGCCACTTGATGGACTATTCCTTGTAATATAACTCAGTTACAAAAAGAATTCCGATGTTTTCATTAAAGTCAAGTTATCTTTTGCCTGAGGGTCTTGGTTCTTTTGTAGGGAGTAGATGCCTTAGTTTTTAAACTTTACTAAGGTCAATATATTATGATTTTTAATCTCAAAGTTAATTGACTTCATTCCTTATTTGATCGAGTTATATTTTAAAAGAGTATTTTCAAAGCTGTCCCTTGAATTCAGTTATTGAGTCAAGTAGGTTCTAAAATTTTGGACAATTTTATTTTACTCTTAAAAAATTGTTTTCATGGGGCAAATTCCTCTATTTACCAAAATTATTTTGGAGAATGGTAGCAGCAATGAAAATTATACAGCATAAATTAGGGATACAAAAGTTTAAACGATGAAATATTAATTATGAAAATAAAAGATTTAAAAATAGAATATTTTTTCTCATATGGTGACAATTTTTTTGGTTTGATCTTTGATTTCCTCGTGGATTTGTCTACTTATCCTTTTATATTTAAGGCATGCAACACCACATCTTTGAAGGTGTTGAATCCAAGGAGAAGAGGAATGTGTGTGTGCGTGAGATAGAGGTCTAAATGTAAAATTAAAGCTTTGGATGGTATAAATGCAAAATGCAGAATTTTAGTGTTAGATATGTAAATGAACAGGACATAGGAACTGGGTGGTATGTATGTAATAATAATATTATTATTTTGGGTTTATTAGCATAATTTATGAAGTGAATCATTCTTGCCGACTGCGGTCACTGAATTTTGAGAAGGAAGGAAAATTGCACATCAACTGGGCCCAAACAATACTTAGAAAAATTTGGGTTTAGGTTAAATCGATTTGGGTTAAGATATTAATCTGTTTTACTTTTCTTAGTTGCTGAGTAGGATTCGGGTTGATCTGTGAACCTAAAATTAAGCTGCAATTGAAATTGTTCCAAAATTGATTTAATTTTAACCCAAATAAATTTTTGGTTAGAGTTGTACTTTTCAACTTAGATAATGTTTAGGTTAGATTTAAGTTAGCTATTTGGAGCTCTATCACCCGATTTGATATCCTTTGTACGATGATAACTTTAATATTATAATCTTATAAGTAGGGGTGTACTAATCAAATTATTATTATTATTATTTTTTTTGGGAAAGATTTAATTTTAATTTGATTTGATTTAGTACAATATTGGAGTTTTTATTCTTAAATCTGCATTGAATCACAGCTTCAGATAAAATAGAAAATTAAATAATAAATTAAAATTCAGATTTTTATTTCCTTATCCATTCAAATTTTCATGGAAGCAATAAATTATTATTTTTTCTAATTGTATAATTATATTATATCTATTGCTCATCAGTTATGCAATAAAAAATTACATAATATATATAAATTATATGAATAATTTTAAGACTCGACAATTAAATTATTTTATCTATTCTAAATGATTTTTGTTTCTACTGATTAAATTTTAATACTTTATTAAAAAAAAACCTAATCATTATACTGTTTTTTTTTTTTTCTTTAAAACTTTATTAAAAATTAAATAAATATAATTTATTCATAATACTAGAATTGAAATGACGTTATTATTATAAGATATAACCTCAATTTTTTCATCTAAGCATGTAGAGATGCATGCGGTGTCCAATTTACACTGTAGATCACGGTAATCTACAGTGAATGTGATGCAATCAAAATATTTTTAAAAAATAAAAAAATTTAAAATGGGGCTCATCGAAATACATCATCACCGTAAATCACCGTGATATACGGTGTAGATCGGACACCGCATGCATCTTTGCATGATATGTCGGTATGCAATAAATTTTCTAAAGAAGAAATGAGCAGTCTTGCGCATTTTCTCCTGCCCACAAATTGAACTGGTAAAAGAAAAGAAAAGCTAATTATTTCTTGTTTGCCAAATTTGTGGATTAGCGGGGAGTAGGATGAGAATGTGTCAAGTCATTTCGTTTGAACCGAACAAAATTTTTTTTATTCGAACAAAAAATTACTCGGAAATAAATACCGTCCTTGCGATGCGTCATCTCTCACAGAAACTGCTATTTATCCACCCACAGCAGCAGGAGTTGCATTGTACACATATGATTAGCAGATTCTACAGAGGGCCGGGAAAGGTACCATTCTCCCTCTGTTCATTCCATCGTTCAATCTGCGTTTATATAATAATTCAGAGGACAAATATTATGAAGAAATTAACAATTATTATCTGCATAAAATCAAATAAATTTTTCGACATATACAAAATCTAAAATATCTGAGTTATTCAGCAACACTTTCTATCAACTAAAGCTCAAGTCTTATTCAGCAACACTTTCCATCAAGAAATGGAACTTCACACCATAAATTTGATTAAAACTTGTAGCTCTATCTTGCTCTAGAATTCACACAAATTCAATGTCACACATTATGTACTAACAATGAACTTCATTCATCAAATATTCTTATCCTCCAAACACCTCAAGAAAATGTTACTGAACAAAAGCTTCCCTATGTGGTTGATGTTGCCTGCCTAGACTTTAATTTGAAGTATGAATGTTGCTAGATATTTCATACCATATCAATTGTCGTTAGTGATTTTACCCCCTTTTCTCTTACCCTCAGAGATTTATTGGATGTCTTTGCTTATTTTCTTCAAACCACTGACACACTCGTTGGGTTATTGGATGATTCTTTTGGGATACTTAGATACTCTCATGCCCAAAATGTAACCTTCATGAAACCATTCCTTATTCTGTTTTCGCCATCTTTTTGCCAGAGCTTCATCTTCATCTAGTCTTCTTCCACCTGTAGCATTCTTTAGCCTACTACCCCGTATACGTGTGCACATGACAACATCGCCCTCCTACTAAAACAACACTTATATTGACTTTGTATAAATCAATCTATCATCAATATACTGACAAACTTTCTAATCTTAATTTGTATAGCTCAATTAACTCTACTCAATCTCATGACCTTCAAATGCCTTATTACTAGTTTTCTAGTATTCTGTATTGTCCTTGTCCTCTATTTCTATACCCATGTTATACAAGGAAGCCTTACAAGGCCCTCGTCGAAAATAGGCACTCTATATTGAAATGTATGTTTTACTTGATCGAAATAAATGGTATCTTATTACCTACCTTCTTTGATTAAAGCTTGTTCCATATCCTTGATCTTACAGTTCCATCTTAATATTTCTTTTGATCGCTGCAAGGCATGCTTAGTTGTTGCCAGTCTCAACTCAATTTGACATCTCACTTGTGTTTGCCAGCCTCAACTCAATTTTTCTTCTATTATTGATTACTATCATCCAAGATTGAGCATTCCAGCAAAAAATGTGATTAATGCCATTGGTGTATTGTGATTTCACTAAAATCATATATAAACAGAGAGCAACCATCAAAGTATATTTGCTCAGGGGAGGTGGAAGGGGAGGGAAATTTAAATGTGTGAACTCAATGAAGCTATAAATGATCTAAAATAAATTCCACGATATTAGTTTGATAAATTTAACGAAGTTCTTTACTAAGTTGGCGCCTGAGGCAGCACTGTAAATCACGCCATCTTCGTAATGACATGTTTCATCTGGTTTTATTGCTTAAATCGTCTATGGATGGCATTTATTGAAACAAAACACAACTTATAAAAATATTTTCTAATAAAAGGATCTCAATCAATCAAAATATTTAATGAGGACCTAATTTGCATTCAAAGATCAAGGGATTTCACTGCCTTAAAGGAAATATGCCATTAACCTTTATAAAAAAAAGTAAGCTTTGGGTTGACTTTATGACTGACCCTCCAAAGATGGTTGTAATCGAGCCGAGCAAGTATATTATAGTTCGGATTTGGCTTGGTAGCATTATAAATTATTCATGTTCGGCTTGAGTTTGTGTTGAGCTTTCAAATAAATCAACTACTTCTGAAACAACAATTTTTTAACTGAGATCTTGTGCAGCCACAATTGAAACAAACGTTCTCTAAGTTCATAATGCAAGTCTTTAAAGTAATTTATGTTGCTAAATGGCATACGCCACAGGATAAGTTATTCCAAGTAGTTACATTTTAGATCCACTAATTCCAACTCCCGAATCCTAAACATAACCTTATTTCGACAAAAATCTTTCAAATCACTTTATTAATTCTCATTTCAATATATTTCATCCAAACTCATATCCTTTCAGCAATAAAGTTTGAAAGTTGTTATGAATCTGGAAAAAAATCACCTTTATCAGCATACAAGGGAGTTAAGGGTGAAACTGATTCAATCTGAATTGTGATTCGGCTCAAGCTCCGCTAGAAAAGTGGCTCGTGAATAGAGCTCGATGAGCGAACAAGCCAAGCTTAAGTTAGCCTCGACTCGACTAATTAGCTTGTGACCAAACTAGTTTTAAAAATTAATTAATATAAATTACCCAAAATATACTTAAATTGAAAATTTTAACTTCAAATTATTAAAAATGATTAAAAATACATTTTAGACTTTATATCACATGATTTCTTATTATTTACCGCCTAATTATTCATTCTATTTGTCATTTGATTATAAAACTATCTTGAATTGCTAATATTTTCTCTCTCTAATAATAAACAAGCCGGCTTGAACTTATAAAAGCTCAAGCTTGAGTTTCAACTCGATTAATTAATCAAGCTCATGCTCAAACCAAGGGTGACTCGAGCTCAACTCGACTTGGTTGCACCCCTAAACGTAGTCATACCAGCTTAGGCTACAACCACATCTTTCCTCATAGACAGTTTTCCAATTAGAGCTCACTCTAAAATCTTTCGAGGGAGTTGCATCACGGCTTGCACCTAATAACCAAACAATTATCTATCCCACTATGAAGTGTACTCATATATTTTCCAAATTTCCAAGTTTCCCAACCACCCAAACCCAGCGAAATACCTCCCCGTGAGTTTCCATAACCCAGCAGGCATGCACAATTAAGAACTAGTTTCACAAAGTATCCATGAAAAGTTTAAGAAAACATACTTAATATGAACTATAGAACTGCAATAGATGAAGAAATTCACAAAAGAAAATGGATGAACATACCCATTCACCAGGGCATAGAGATCTGTAATATTTTGCAAATTTTTCACACTCCGGTGCTCCTTCACCTTTAGCATTTATGCACCTAAATGAATAAATGTATTGGCAATAAGGTATCATTAAATTCTCAAATGGAACTTAAAAAGGCATCTTGTGTATATAGCAACCTAAATCTGTATGATATGTGGATAAATAAATAATATAATTGGTAGATCACCTATGAAACTCGATGTAGCGGGTAAAGCAATGCCTCGTTTGGTTTGTGGTTGGGAAGCGGAAATCAGCTGGGGCAGTCTCAAGCTGAAAGCAAACCATAAAACATCAGAAACCACACTAATTGCCAAAAAATATTAGGCTTAGTTAACAGGTGAATTAGATAAACGTGTAGACAAGTCAATGCTGAGAAAAGTACACCTTGATCAATGGAGTTTCTTCTTTGGCCTCTTCGTTTTCTTCTTCTTGCACTTGCTCTGTCTCTGAGCTAGGGTTTTCATTATTCTCCACTGCAGTAGAGGTAGTCTCCACAGGTTCATGCTTTTCTTCTACTTCCTCTGATGGTTCTGTGTTTTGTTCAGCGGCAACGCTGTTTTCCTTTGTGATAGGGGAATTTTCCTTCACTTCTTGTTTTTCCTCCACTGTTGTTATTTCTCCCTCTGGGTTAGGGTTTGCACCTTTCTCCCTTGCAGTAGGAGCAATCTCCACTGAAACTGGGGCTTGATCAATTTTCTTTGCATCAATTTCCTCAGTTCCTTGTTTGGAAGTATCGCTATGATCGTCCAGCTCATCTTTATCAACGAGTAACCATTGCTACGTGTATAATATTGAAAATAAAAGTTTACTAAAATATGTTTGCACTTAACACTATAAATTTACTAGTTCTATTATTTAATAGTGGCAAACAATGATTCTACAGAAGTGTGGCCCATCTAAAAGGGAAATGAAATGAGAGGTAAAGGTATTATTGAACAAATCCAACTAATAGAAGTCCTTTACTACAAAAAAAAATAAATAAATAAACGTGTCATTATTTCAGCAATTACCTTCTGTTGAAAAATTTGTAACAATAATATCAACTAAGAACTCAAAATATTATGAAATAACATCCTTCGATCTATAGCGGAAACTAGCATATATTCTGCACATTCAACATGAATAAACATAAAGAAGACTTAAATTTTCAGCATTTCTTACCTATGAAGCATAGACACCAACATGAGACAAGAACGTGACAAAGAAAAAAACACGAGGACAAGATGTATCATGAATATGATTCTTTTTATATGTTATTAAAATAAAATATGTAACCAAGCACTTAATGTAGTCATTTTTTATATAAAAATACGGCTAAAGCTAAAGCATAAAAAAAAGAAAATATAAATTAACATGGTCCTATTAAAATTCATTGAAATTATTAACAATCTCAATTATAATAATATCAGTATTAATCATAAATATGATTTTAAAGATATTAATATTAAATTATCTACACAAAAATGCTAAAAAGCTAAAAAAGAGTGCAATCTTCAAAGCAACTACATAATATAACACATTCATGTATCCCTAATTGAACTCAACATACTCGACATCACGATCACCATCCTTTTTTCGAAAGCAATTTCACCACCGAGGCAACAAAAAAAAGGTTACAGAGATAATCCATTGACAAAACCACAGTTCACTATCATTACGAGGAGAAAAATTTACGTACGTAAGACGTTTGTGGAGCTGCATACATCGGAGATTATTCAGAGGGTATTGGGGGGTTATATTTGCGTTATACCCCCCTGTGACATCTCTGTAACCTACCTATAACCCCCCAATACCCTCTGAATAACCTCCGATGTACGCAGCTCTGCAAATGCTTACGTACGCAATTTTTTCTCCATTACGAGAGTCTATCATGTTCAACAATAATTATGAGAAAAATATACATCAAAGTACAATTTTTACATGTGGGACATGTGTTAGGGTGTATTGGAGGCATTTCCAAATTTGGCACTCGCAGGAAACAAATCCAAAAGAAAGCATTTGTTTCTTGCAAATTGTTTGAACATCGAGAAGGATAGATTTTTTAATTTTCCTACATCTGCCATGTTTCCATACAAGTAAAAACAACCTTTTAACGCATCTCATTTGGTCAGATCTGTCATGGTTTAGTACGGAACTAGTTTAGTTAATTCTAGAACAAATTTCTACTTAAGTCAACCGTGGTCCTGCTAGCAGGTTATTCCTTAAGAAATGAAACAATTCCCATGTGCACACAAAAAAAAAATAATTGATCATTAGGAAAATTCATCCTTTTCAATATATAAAACATAAAACAGTAAACAATGGGCATGTCGGCCGTTATTTTTTTTTGGAAGGAAAGAATGATTTTTGTAAATATGAAAATAATTTTAATATAAATATGATTTTTGAAAGTAACATTTTAATTTAAAGAATAGATGAGACCAAACGACTCTCACACATTGAATAGTTTGGATGGATGAGCGCGATACCACAAGTAATACATTATCCCGAAAGATAAGCATACCACTTGCAGTAGGCTCAACCACATAAACTAAAGATTTTGTGACATCTGTTTGGTCTGCAAAACCTTTTATGTATGACCGACAAATTTCCCTACCTAATATAATGATTAGATAAGGTTTATTTTACCTAAGTTCCAAGTTCCCTATAAAGAAAAACCCCTATAGTTAATTACATCTTAAATGATCGGGGTCACTTAAGAAGACTCTCGATTAAGATCAGTGATTTTGCTTTCAAGATTTCAAAGTTTAGGTTTTCAAAATTGGACACAGGAAAATCAAATGAAAGTAGCTCAAATAGGAACAGTTATTTTAAGGAATCCAAAAGAATGAAGAGTAGGGGATATCACAGATCCAGGGGAAACCCTGGTGATTTCCCAACTATACTATTGTTTGACTTTATGTTTTTGAACTTTATGTTTTTGAAATGATGTTATTTTTGAAATGATGTTATTTAATGTTTAATACTGCAATTTACTTTAGAATTTAAGACTTACATTTGCATGATATCTGACCGTATAAATGACCTAAAAATATAGGAAGATTTACACTGTACCGCACGTAACCTCAAAATCCTAAAAGTGTTAGGACTTATAATTACACAACAGAGTTATGCAAAAGCCTAAAGATAAGGTGAGGATTTACGTTGCGCTAAACAAACAACCTCGAAGTCCTATGACTTGTTATTTAAATTAAGGAAAATGCTTAGCTGAAGTGAACTTGTTTTGATTTTGCAGAGCCACCTCAAAGTTGTTCCTCTGTGTGTCCTCGTCGCTCCAAGTTCCCCGTCGTAGCACCTTCAGATTTGACATTAATTTTACGAGTACATGCAATTGTTTAGTCAACGATTTGCTGCCGGATACCTCCTATAAAACCAACTACTGGTCTCCTATTCTAAAGTATAGTGTGTAAAAGTAGCAGTAGCAGGTAGAAGTATAGTAGCAGAATTTTAAAAAATGAACATGAATTGCATCAACAAAAGAAATACCACTTAGAAAACTCAAGAAGAACGACAAATGATCCATGATGAAAGAATACTCGAGAAAATCGACAAATGACTCACGACGGAAATCTCGAAGCAAAAACAACAAATTGCAACTGAAAGAAAGTCACCGAAAACACGGGAAGATCCCGGAAAAGACCACGAGTGCTTTACCAAAAAACTCCAATAAAATCCCACAAAAAATCTGAAGAAAGAAAACCGTAAGTACTCGGGTCGGGGCTATGCTCAGATGTTAAATATTTGTACTCGAGGGACGTCGAAAGCTACTATCGGTCACCCGGATGTACAGAGTCCGCCACTCAACTGAAAGCTAAACCCAACTTAAGAGGGTACTCCTTAGCCCGATACTGATAATCGACAAGTGGACAACCAAATTACAATATAATTAAAATTTATATTTTAGCATGCACATGGATTTCGGACATACAAAAAGTTGTATAAATTTTGTAGTAAAAATATTTTTATAAATATTGTATCTGTTCTTCTTAATTTTGAAAAGTTATGATTGTCCACGAGTCGACTATGCCGTCGGGCGTAAGACCGCCAACCTAAGAAGGAACGGGTCCCCCGCTAGTCTTGTGTCGGTGAATGATACTATCATCCTATAGTTCATCAGGTCTCAGGAATGAGTCCTGATGTCGTAGGATGGAATATCATTCCGCTCTATCACTGACGTGCCTTTGTCATCACTGCCCTAAGCCCCAAAACAAAACCGACTTACTTGCGACATTGCTTGATGGTTTCCTATATAACAAAAGACTATACATTGGTACTTATGTGTCAGACATAAACACCGAAAACCAAACCAAGAAGTAAGGAAATAAAAAATAAAAATGAGGATGAGAGAGAGGAGGAACTGATCCACCCAAAAGATCGAAAAGACGAAGGGTGAATCAACCCTTAAAACTTGTAACGAAAATATCTGAAAAGGAGGGCCCAAGATCCTTGAATCAATCCAAGAAAAATATCATTTTCTCAAATTTTATAAATGGATCAACCCAAGAAGGGTATCCCTTCTAAATCTTGTTTCAAACAGGTCGAAACGGGCCTGAATCAATGTGACAGTTGTATACACGGTTCCACCATCACTTACATGATCACAAACCCAGACCTGAACTCAAATGTGACAATTATGTTATCCAAACCTTAATGTCAAACTTCCAAAAAGAAACTCTTTCGTGAATGTCAATTTTATGAGCTTTCAAATCCTTCATGAATCCAATTCATATCGATTTTATGATTTCCCAAAATGAAATTGTAAGAGTCTTTCATATTTCACAAATCAAATAAATGAAAATAATCTAGGGACGACAACCTTCTAAATTAAAAAAAAAATCATGTCAATATTAAAACCATTCAATTCCAACCATAATCAAAAGCTTCTCATGTCAAATAAGCATGAAACCATCCAGATAAAATCATATAAATGCTCACAGTCAGGGGCAACAGAGAGGGACAACCACCAGCCCAACTTATCACATAGAGAAATCACAAGATAAGGCTCACGGCCAAAGCAGCAAAAAGAAGACCACCACCAACTTTTCTCATAGAGAAATCATGAGGTAAGACTCACAGGTAGGGGCAGCAAGAAGAAGACCACCATATATTTAAGCTCATGGGTAGGGCCAAGAAAGGGCACAACCAAACCAAAGAATAAGCCCACGGGTATAGGCCAGAAAAAGCACAACCAAGCCCTAATACAATCTCATGGTTTGGGACAAGAAAGAGGACAGAAGCTCACGGGTAGGGGCAAGAAAAAACACAACTAAGCCCCAAAATAAGCCCACGGGTAGGGGCAGCAAAAGGACAGCCAACACCTCAAGCTTACGGGTAAGGGCAGTGACTACAAGGAGTCAAAAGCAAACCCCAAACCAATTTTTTTTAAAATTTTTTGGAATAGATTTCCACATGTATTCAAATAGGGGCAACGAAGGGGAGTTAAAACCGAGCCCCAACAAAATGGCAAAAACATAACCACATCTTAACCAAAACGAGCCTAACAGAGGGGGTCAAATATAAAACAATATTCCAAGTAAAACCCAACAAAAAAAAAAAAAAAAAAAAAAAAAAACCAAGCCAAATTCCAGGTGAAACCGAGTTTGATCTCAGGTAAAAAAACGAACCCAATATAAGAGTTAAATCAAACCCAGCAAAAACATCATTCCAAGCCAAATAGAGCAGAATTCCAGCATTATCGAGCCCACCAAATGGGTTAAAACAGAAAGAGAACATTCCATGAAAAATTTAGCTCAGCAAAGGAGTCAAATCGAGCCCAG